GGGCAAAACTGGAAACTAAACACAGTGTCCGAATGTACGACAAAAGTGCAGATAACTTTGCGGCGAAAATCCCATCAAACACCTTCCATGCCTTTTCAAATCCCGAGGTCGATTCAACCAGCGAATCTTGGCCTCTATATTTACAATAAAGATCCTTATATTCCTGTAATATACAAAAAGGCCCTCAATAAAGTTTCTGGCGGAATTACCTACTCAAAATGTGGACCCAACAGCAACATTATCTCATTTGTTGCAACTCCCAAAGGGATTGATGGGCATCTATCTGCTTTTTCAAGAAACCCCACAAACATTCCACTTGCCACTCCTCTATGGAATTAGCTTATCTGTCCTTTACTTTCAAATAAATAAGGACAACTCCAATGGAGATTCCAAAATATCATTTTGCACCATACATTTTGTCTTTAATATTGCACCATTTGATGCAAAATGGTACGAGTGAATAATATTACACCATATTTACCATTCTCTTTCATTTTTCAAACATGTTGATTAGGGATATTTTTGTTATACATTTTTAATAAAATCAATTATTATTATAATTATTAATAATAATAAAAATAATATATTTATTACTGATTATATTATTCAAATTTATTATTTTTTAATAATATAATCGATAATAATTAAGGATTTTTTAATTTATTAATTATTTTCGTTAATTGAACGTAATTATTTATAGTAAATTAATGATATAATCGATTATTTTCGTCAATTTACTGTAATACATAAAACAAGTGAATAATTTAGTAATCAACAATAATTCAATATTTTAGTTAATTTAACGTAATTATTTATTAGTAATTTATGTAGCCTTAAAATAAAAAAATAAATAATTTTTTCAAACAAATAAATTGTTAAGAATCAAAAAAAGAAGAAAGTAATTAAACATTGTTAATTTGGTGTAAATTTTGGTGTAACATGTTGAAGATGATTTTTTTAGTTTTGTGTAAGATTTGGTATAAAACTTACCTCAATTTTTAGTGTAGCGTTGGAGATGGTCTAACCATCGTTGTTTTTGTTGACTACACCATATTTTAATTGCAATAAACTTCTTATTTTTTGATAAATGAGTGATAAATTTTCATTTTACACTCTCGTAACTTATTTTTTGGGTGGAATATATCATCAAAGACAAGACATGGAAATTAATAAAAGTTGATGATGAGAATGCAACAAAAAAAATTGTGACATAAATATAAAAATGAGCTAAGATTTAAATATTTAATAAAAATATTGTGTGACTAACAAAATCAGTGATGTAAATATTATCCTAAATAATTCAATATAGTACTAAAAAAAATAAAATTATTGAGTTTGAGTCTCGATTTTATGAATATTTCACATGGACTTTGGAAGCAAAAAGTAAATCCAATCTGTGCTTAGGAAGTCGGAGGATGAAGTTACAATTTTAATCGGCATGCTTCTTCCAGTAAAGTCATTTAGACGAGGATTTGGTAACGTACAATTTGTAACCATAGAGACTCATTAGTTCCGTAGCAATTACGCAAATATTTTGCAATTTTCTTCCTCACTATTACCACTTTTAAAATTTTAAATTATTTGCTACAATATAATTCATAACATATTCTACACACAAATCAATAAAAAATTTACTTTTTAATCACATTCTCCAAAAAAAAATATATTATTCGAACCTTTTTAATTTCTTAAACAATGGGTGTCAAACAAGGCTAATTTTCGATTTCCTTTGATTA